AACTTTGAATAACTCAATTGTCATGATTTTTACACTGATTTTTTTTTAGTCAAAAATATTCTGAACATGTTTTTAATTTAGAGCAATTAATTAACATCATTTATAGTTGATGGAGTCCCTTTTTGCACTATAGGTAAAATGTGCTAGTAGACTAGTAGCAAAACATTTGGCTCGCAACCAGAAGGTTGGGGTTCAAATTACCTCTGCTGAAATTACTGTCTCAATCTATTTCTCCACACAGCGCCTTTGAAAATTTTTTTTCCAAATTTAAAAAATTGGGTGTAAAGTGTAATATAAATTATAAATAAATATAAAAGAAATATTTTTCCGCTTTTGCTAGGTAAATACTGGAGTCGCAAAGTTTTTTAAAAAAATTGCTCAGGTTAGCGAAAATCCACTATTCATATTTTTATCTGCCATTTTTTTTTGCTCAACTCTAAAAAAGTGACAAGATACACCATTAAAAAGCTGTTAAAATTGTCATTCTAATTGTATATAATATGTCTTTATAAAATTTTTTTCCATTTTTAACATAAATTCTACAGTACTATAACACTATTATAGTGTTATTACTTTTAGAATGCAGTTAGTCACTAGAGTGTTATTAATTTTGTAGTTTTTATTCGTAAATTTATTGTTTTATTTTTTATAACTTTTTCGCTAAAAAATTAAAGTTGATTCGCCCTTTGAAAATAAAGAACATGTTTTTGTATAAACTAAAACTTTGAAGACCAGATATTTTTCCAGATTTTGCATTTCGCAATCGCTTAATTCAACTCTTATTGTTATATAAACACATTTTACAAATACATTGCAATTTATATTTTCGCTTTCCTATTTAAAAAAAAGTTAAATAAAGAAAAATCACTCTTTTTAATGTAGACTTAAACCTTTTTTTTTTACTTTGCCTTATCTAATTTTGTTGCTGAATGTAACAACCAATCTAAAGAAAAGAAAAAAAAAATAGTAAATAAATTATCAAAATTATTAACTCATTTTATTTTTTATTTATTTAAATTTCTTTTTATTTCCATTTTGTTAGTTTTGCTTTTTTTGTTTTTAAAACTTTTTCCGCCATGATTAATATTATAAAACTTGCAAACGGCCGTGATCAAGTTGTCTAAAATAAAATACTCTTGCGTGGTCATACAAGACAAAAAACTGCACGTTTTTCCTGGGAAGACTTTATATATATATATATATATATATATATATATATATATATAATATATATATATATATATATATATATATATATATATATATATATATATATATATATATATATATATATTATATATATATATATATATATATATATATATATATATATATATATATATATATATATATATATATATATATATATATATATATATATATATATATATATATATATATATATATATATATATATATATATATATATATATAGTCCTTGTAACTATCGCGCAAGTTTAATTTTTAACTGAATGAACTTTTAATATTTAGCTTGCTATTTTAGTTTACATAAGGAAAACGAAAAAACAAAGTATAAACTTTTTCAGACAGTTTTTTTTCCTTTCAATATTCTTTTTAAAATAATAGAAAAAAAGGTTTCAACAACTTAATAAATTATGAATAAGTAAAAGTTTATTTTTACTGTGAGTGCAGTAAAAATAAACTTTTTAAGTAAAATAAAGTTTGTGTAGAAATGAAATGTAGAAACTTACCTTTAATATTGAAAATGAAATTGAGAAGTTTTATTACTTTTTATTATATAAAAAATGCACGAATAAACTATTATTGTAATAACGATATAAGATGTATAAAGCGGAATTAAATTGCTTATAGCAATTGCTTATATAACATATTGCCATATAGATGATATATATAGATGAGGATGATACTTAAAACTCTTACAAAATATAACTGAAATCCATACAAAACTTTTAAAAAACCCACAAAAAAAAAAAAAAAAAAACGCCTTTAATTTCCTAATTAGCTGACATGTGATAAATATCCAAGTCATATTTTGACAAAAGAACGGATCTAAAAAAGGGTCCCAATTTACTGACTGATTTATTGAATGGAGATATGTCACCCTCCTACACTCCTTCCACACATACTCTTTATGCCGGCCTTGACTACATTTAGCCATCAATAATCATTCGCATTTAAAAGGAGTTAAAAGGATGAATATAGACAAAACCCAGGGAAAAAATTTAAAAAAATAATAATAAAGTGCTATAAATAGAACTCAGCTTTCCATTTAATCAAAAATGGAGAATGCAAGAACCTGTCAGAGTTAACAAAAGCTTTTATGACGAGGTTCTATATATATACGATATATATATATATATATATATATATATATATATATATATATATATATATATATATATATATATATATATACATATAAAGACATATTATATACCATTGGAAAGACAATTTTAACAGCTTTTTAATGGTGTATCTTGTCACTTTTTTAGAGTTGAGCAAAAAAAAATGGTAGATAAAAATACGACTCCAGTATTTATCTAGCAAAGGAGGAAAAATATTTCTTTTATATATATTTATAATTTATATATATATATATATATCTGTACCCCAGTGGTCAGCTATTGTAACTGCAAAATTGCTGATTTTTCAGGTTTTTATCTTAACTTGTTTTAGTGGTAAAGATAATTCAGACCCACTAAAATATATAAAGAACTTCAAATATCAATTTTAAAAATAAAAAAAAGCTTTTTCTTAACAGAAAAAGAAGTGTAGTAACATTTGGCTCTCCTGCAAAATTTGTCAAATGTGAGTTACGATAGTTGATTTATATATATATATATATATATATATATAAATATAAATATATATATATATATATATATATATATATATATATATATATATATATATATATATATATATATATATATATATATATATATATATATATATATATATGTATATATTTATACATATAATATATACAGTGAGAACAGAATTTAATCGTACAAAGTAATTTTTCCATTTTATTTTGCTAAAACTTGTTTTTAACTTGAATAATATTGATAATAATTGAAACATTTTTTTTTTTAATTTATTATGACTATTACTTATTTATAATTTTTTAGTAAATATATAAGAAAATGTGTTTACTATACAATTTTTGCTTTTTTTCTCAAACAGGTATTAAATTGCATGCACATAAATTAATTGTACAAAACTGTTTTATTGGTAATTTGTTATGAAAATGAATGTTTATAATTTTTTTAATTTATAAAACATCAATTTTATTATTGACTTTGTATTTCTAGAACATTATTTTTAGCAACTAATAAAATTTTTGAAGAAAAAGACATTAAAAACTCTGTTTATTGTACGGTATGGCACCCAAAGGTAAATATTTAAATACTGCTCAACGAAAACTTGTTATAGACTTGGTTAAACAAGGAAATACTTATAGAAAAGTTGAAGAACTTACAAATATTTGATTTACAACAGTAGGAGCCATTGTAAAGAAATATCAACAATTTGAAACTTTTGAAATTCATACTGGACGAGGGCGAAAACGGAAGACAAGTTCAGGAGACGATAGAGAAATTTTAAGAATGATAAAAAAAAATTGGTTTGAAACTGCAAAAAATATAGCAAATCATTTGAAACACTTAACAGGAAACACAATCTCACTTACATCAATTAGAAATCGCATTCATAAAGCAGGGTTCAGTGGATGTATAGCTCGTAAAAAACCATTTTTAACAAAAAATCATATGGAGAGAAGAATGAACTTTCCAAAAAAGTATTATTTAATGCCTGTATCATTTTGGAAAAAAGTTCTTTGGTCTGATGAATCCAAGTTTAACTTAAAAAAATCTGATGGTGCACAAGGAGTTTGGCGAAAGAGGGGTGAAGCTTTTCATTTAAGTTGCACACAAGGAACAGTTAAACATGGCGGTGGAAGTGTAATGTTATGGGGTTGTATGGCATGGAATGGTGTTGGTAAACTTGAGTTTATTGATGAAACTATGAATGCTGATTTGTATAAAAATATATTGAAACGAAGTTTAAAATCTTCTGCTAAAAAGCTTAGATTGGGAAATGATCAATGAAATGAAACAAGACAATGATCCAAAACACACTGCTGAAAAAACTAAAAGCTTTCTCAATGAAAATGGCATAAACGTTTTAGAATGGCCTTCGCAGTGCCCTGATTTGAATCCAATAGAGCATCTATGGACTTTATTAGATAAAAAATTAGGTACTAGATCATTTATAAAAAAAGAAGATTTGAAGAAAGCTGTTGTTAAATCATGGTCTAACATTGACAATAATCAAATTAAGTGCCTAGTAGAATCAATGCCAAAACGCTTGTTAGATGTAATTAAAGCAAAAGGAGGACCAACTAAATATTAAAGTATATTATTAAAATATAAAAACTTGAAACTGTTTCTCAGTTATTTTAATAAACTGGTATTTTTTTTTAGCTTTAACCTATAACGCTTTTTTTGTACAATTATTTTATGTGCTTGTGTTTTTATCCCTTTCTTCATTTTAGAATTCCTAATCAGGTAATTTAAATACTGAAATAAAAATTTTACTTTTTTTTTGAAGGCCTTTTAACAAATAAAAAATTAGAGAAAAAAAAAGTCTTTATAATTAGTGCATGTTACAATATTTTATTCAAAGGTGTTAATTTTTAATGTTAATGTAACATTTGTAGGTGTTAATGTAACATTTAGTGGATATACCTGATGATGCTGATCACAATAGATCAGCAAAATATCAAACAATATATATTAAATTATAAACAAACAAACAAAAAAATATTTTTCAAAAAAGTTTATACACAGCGGTATTTATTGAATTTTACATACATTTTAATGTATAACAAGAAAATGACTTTTGAAGATAACGTACTTTACACTAAAAAATATTTTTTTAGCGTTACATAACTGCAACACTACAAAAAATGTAAACTATAAAAATTTATAATCTTCAAAAAATTATTTATGCTTTACTTGAATTCCTGGATTTACTTGAAAACAATTGACCCATGTATAATAAAAAAGCTCATCTGATTTTGTTGGTTCAGCCAATAAAGCTTCTCTCTAAAATATCATACAAAATCATACTACATAACAACATTTTCAATTTTACAGGAGAAAAGAAGACTTTAACATTATTCTAAAATAAAAAATTAAGTTTACAGCTTTAAATGATAAAAGCTATAAACATTGATTTAAATGCAAACTTGTGAATCATTTACATGAATAAGCAAATAAGTAGGCAAGACTTCTTAAAAGTTTCTTAATGGTCCCACAACAACAACTAAATTTTTTTATGACAATTGAAAAATATTTAGGGGTCCCCCAAGGGTCTAGAATTTTTGTATAAATGAGGAAAAAATTAAATAAAGTAACTTTTTTTCTAAAATCCACTTCCGCTTTTTATTCAATTAAAACTAATTTGGCACTGTTCAAATAGCTATACATATAAAACAAAATATTAGTAAAGATTATATTCTACAAGTGACAAGTGTTTTAAGCAGAAATTTAACAAAAATTATTAAAAACAGATTTTTTAGATATCTTATATATTTACTTTTTTTAATTTAAGTTTTTTACTTTTATAGTAGAATAAAGACTGTGGAGCAATGGCAAAGTGTAAACCTAACACAACTCGAAGTACCGACATGATCTGGTTGATTGGCCATCCATGTGACATAATACATCCACAAGAAAGCAGTACCTAGACAGTTGCTCATAGTGTACATCAAGTACACGACCAACTACTGCCCTTCTGGACGAAATCAAGATTACCGGTCCAACACAAACTAGATATTGTTCAAAAGCTTAAAGATCTTTACTCACAGCATGTTGGACTAATGAAACATTGTTCAAGGAATAATGCTAAGGATCAACAGAACTAAAAAGAATACAATGAAAAGCTGGATATTTTGTTTGATATTAGTCATGCTGATTCTGACAATCTTTTCAAGAATGAGGAAGACCGACAGTTTCTAAAGTTGCAGAAAGAATCTAGAACCGGATGCATTGGATCTGTGGACAATAAAATGTTTTTCCGCAATAAGCATTCAGCAAAACGTAAAGAACGATTAGTACTCCAGCAAAGAGCAGCTTCAGCAGGTCAGCAATTAATGCAGGCAGATGTGGAAACTGAAGATGAAGATGAGGAAACAGTAGAATCATCGAAGTTGTGCTCCTCAGATGATGAAGAATCTATGGATGAATTTGTTGTAAAGTCTCCAACTAATGATAGACCGACCAAGCAACCCAAGTGTGCTGGTGTGATGACTTCAAAAGTGGCTGCTGTATTAGACCACACAAACATCAGCATTCGTAAATCAACAATGATAATTGCATCAATGGTTAATGAAATTGGATGCTCCACGACATCTGTTGTTCTTTCAAAAAGTACAGTCCATCGTCAATGACAGCTTTTTTGTTGCAAAGCTGCACAGAAGATCAAGGATAACTTTCTACCTAGTAAGTCCGTCATTCATTGGGATGGCAAACTACTACTTGACATCACTGGAGTAGACACCAACCAAGTTGATAGATTGGCAGTTCTTGTTTCTTCACTTGTTGATGGAAATATTAAACTGTTGGTAGTACCAAAGTTGACTTCTGGAACAGGACAAGTGGGATCAGAGGCAGTTCTTGACCAACTCAAATCATGGCAGTGCAATCAACAAGTCATTGGAATGTGTTTTGATACAACAGCCTCAAATACTGGCAGACTGAGTGGAGTCTGCAATCTTCTGGAGAAGGCTCTCGGTCGCAATCTGTTATGGATGGCATGTAGTTAATTGCTGAGCAGCTTTAACTCAGCCATCCACGAGATGACTATTGAGAATTTCTCCAACTCGCGGTTTATATGACTGGTTTAAAATGCGCTGGGGCAGCACCAGTTCGCAAGCCTGGTGCCGTTCACAGAGCACATTGGATGGCCAAGGCAATTTATGCAATGAAGATAGAATTGCTTTTTGATGGTAATGAAGCTGTTATACAGTTGACTGCTCATGAATTACAGGGCATTCAGAGATTTAATAGATTTGTTGTCAATGTCTACATTCAATCTTAGTTTTCAAGTCGAGCCAATGCTGATGCACCATTGAATGACATTCTATTGATTCAAAGGCTGCTTATGTATGAAGATGCTGCTTTGCAGACAAAAGGTTTGAAGTTGATGAAGCGTCACTCCTGGTACCTGAGCCAAGAGCTAGCAACAGTTTCTTTGTTCTCTCAGCATATGTCTTCTAAAGAAAAAACCCAGCTTGTGTTGACAATGAAAAGTGATCGAGGATCGCATTTGCTCAAGTCTCTTCCACAAACAACAGCGGAATTACTCATTTCTCCAAGGTTCTTTCTAGTTACTGCCATTGATGATAGCTTTCTCGATATTCCAGTGGAAAAGTGGCACAAAAACCATTCCTATCAGATAGCACGCCAACTTGTCAATAACTTGCCATGTGTTAATGATTGTGCTGAGCAGGGCATTGCTCTCAACAAAGAATGAAGAACAGAAACAATTTCTACTTCAGGTTGTTGAAAAACACAGACAAGACTTTTCCAAATGCAATCGTGACAATCTTGTGGACATTTAGATTTTAGAAGTTATTTATCATATTTTAGAATGAACAATTGAAACCTTGTTGCCATTTTGTATAATAAATTATTGTCTTTAATTGTGTTCTAATGAGCATAAAAAAGTTATGTGCTATTGCTAAGTGTTCAAATATTTAAAGTTAAAATTGACTTTGCTTGTGCTTGAAATCATATAAAGATGTGCTATAAACCAATTTTATTCTAAACTTTACCAGGAACTAATCATTTTTACTATATTTTTATGATCTTTATGACCTTTGGGGGACCTCTAAATATTTTTCAAATGTAATTAAAAAAATTATGGGTTGTTAAGAGACTGCAAAGAAACTTTTAAGAGGAACTGCATCAAAAAATTTGAAAAAAAAATTTTTTGGGACACCCTATCTATCACTGCATATATGTTTAAACCACAAAAATTTGACTAAAAAAAACTTGTAATTTAAATATCTGTAGATATCAAAAAAAAAAAGTGTAAAAACAACAATTTAATCAATTCTGAACATCCTAAAACTTGAAAATAGAATGTTGTTGATTAAAATCTTTACTATATTTTATTTTATAAAATGGTTTTGAATATTTTATCAAAATTAACAAACAAACAAAAAATTAAAATATCATAACAAATATTTAAAATAAACATAATTGTTACAAAATTTTTAACTGTAAACTATGATTACAGTTAGTGTCAACTAAAAACAAATTATGAAACAATAGATGTAAGAACTAAGGAGTGTAAATATCCAATTTTTAAAGTGCATAAAGCAGTCGAAATTTCTACTGTGTCATTTAGAGACTGCCTTTGTGATGCAATCTTTGTTATTTTTTCTCAATTTGTACTTGAATGTAATACTACATAAATTTAAGACTTTTAACTAAAACATTTGTTCTAGCTTATTATTTGCATAATTTATATAATTTATAAATTATACAAATAATATTGTAATATTTAAATTGTAAATAACTAATTTAAAATAAATTATTTTATTTAAAAAAATTATTTTCCAAGTTTTTTTTACCCGCCATTTATAGCAAGTTATAGCGCCATTAGAATGACTTTATTACATCTCAACTGGTCTCTACAAGCTTTATTACATCTCAACCATTCTTTATATTGAAGTTAATAAGTTTTTAATATTTCAGACAGCATACAACAGAGGAATCTAATTCTTTTTTTGAGAACTAAATATTATTTAGAAGATGCATTTTCCTCATAAACAATTTTATAAGTATTAAAAAATTAAAATTAATTCTTATGCTGTCTTTAAAAAAACTTTTTGTCATTCGCATTTTAAGCAACAAACTTTCTTTTTCTTTTTAACTGATTTTAAAATGATCTCAAAATTTTAACATATATATTTAATGAGACTTACTAACTTCTTTCTATTCATGCTTTAATTAAGCACTTCAATATTGACATCGCACATGAGTAAAAATGGCATCAAATTGAATATGGTAAATACATTTATAAAAGAAACCATACTATTATTTTATTTAATTTCTTTTATAATTACAAAATTCATAAATCAAATAATATATTTTATAAATAAATAGGAGTTTATTTTATCATTTTTCTATTATATAAGTATTGAGAAAAAATATCAAGTATAGCAAAAATATTTTAAACGAAAAAAAATTAACAAACTTTCTCATAGTTCTAGCGTACATAGCAAACTAGTTTCTTAGTTATATGGACTGATAAAAATTATGAATGAATTGCAAATCATAACTTTCAATTGGTTTTTTTTACCTCAACTATCAAATTTGGTAGCTAAAAATAACAATACTAAAAAATAAAATAATTTATAGTTATTAATAAAAGTTATTTTAAACTAATAATTTAGTTTTTTTATTTAAAAAATAAAATAAAAAAGAATACGTAAGGTATTTAAAAAATAAAAAAGAATAGAAAAGGTGTACTAAAGGTAAAAAAGGTGTAATTAAAAAATTTTTTTTTAGTTTATTTCTTTTAATTATTAAATTTTTTTAGCTTATTTAAATCTTATATTTTGTTTTAATTTTGTTTCCTATTTTTAGTATCGTTTTTTTTTTCTCAGTTGATAAGTTTAGCTTTTTGCCACGAATTATTGAAACGCTTTTAAAGTTGAAAGATACAAACTGCCATGATTAGTGTTACTTAAAACCTAGTTGAACAAGCCGTGCAATCGTACACGCTTGCTAAAAAGGTTTGCTTATGTATGTATGTATGTATGTATGTATGTATGTATGTATGTATGCATGTATGTATGTATGTATGTATGTATGTATGTATGTATGTATGTATGTATGTATGTATGTATGTATGTATGTATGTATGTATGTATGTATGTATGTATGTATGTATGTATGTATGTATGTAGAGTTATTAACAATAATTTGTTTTCACAACTTTTAACTAAAAAATTATTACAGAAAAAAATTTAAAAGCTTTGGTAATCTATTAAATTAAAAATTTTTTTTGTAAAAAAAAAATATACAAATGGATATGCGAACAACACATCTTTATCTAAATAAAGATGTGTTGTTCGCATCAACAAACAACACATCTTTATTTGCCTAATAAAGATGTGTTGTTAATTGCCTTCTGACAACACATCTTTATCTAAATAAATACTAGAACATCTCTTAGAACATCAGTTATTTTCTCTATTAGAAAATTAGTTACTTGTATGAATAAACAAATCCAAATGTTAAAAAGAAAGTTGACAGAAATTGGTTATTACTTGAAAAATTTTCAGTTACAACATAACATTCATTTACCTAATAAGTATTTGAAGCCCACTATTACAAATTTATGTGAAAAACTGAGGTAAAATCTGTCACCTACTGTTACTAGACTTTATGGGCAATTAATATTGTGGTACCACAGCCTTTTGTAACTTATATTTTTTTTTTTAAAAAAACTTTACATTTAAACTAAATTTTGGTTGTAAGATAGATATTTTTCTATATTTCAAATTTTAATTTTGTAAATATATAATTTTCATTTATATTTTTTTATTTTTGAAATATATACTGACCTCTATAACTCAGTAAAATTTTTACTGAATATGTACAATAAATATAATTATAATTACCTGTATGTTGGAACAAGTTGATTATTTATCCATTATTCATGAAGCTTTAGTTAATACATCAAGACTTCATAATAATTCTAAAATAAAGTTATTTGTTTGCTTTTTTGAGATTTAGTATGCCATTAGTATGTCTGAAAATAGGTTGATACATATCTATTAAGTATGTTTGATTTGATGCACTCTTCCACAGATTAAAAAAGAAAAATTATTAAGAGTCGGCGTTTAGGGTTAATATTTGGATTAGAATAACTTGAAAATTATCTTGACACTATCAGGCCATGACCCTAAAACTGACTCGAATTAAGACTCTCATCACTCTAATCCTTGCCCTCACTTTTTGATTCTTTTATTTGTAGAAGGGTGCATTGTTTCAGACGTAATTGTGACAAGCACAAAAAAGCAAATAAATTAATTTTTTTTAAACTGAAGGATTAATACCACTGATCTCAAATTACAATATGTTATATTTTGAGATCAGTACTAACGAGGTTAGTACTAACGACTTCATTATTTACTGAAACTTTAAAAGAAAATTCTCAGAAAAGCATGGCTGCTTTTCTGAGAATTTTCTAAGCTTCCGGATCCGAGAAAATTGTACTCGAGCAACCGGGCACCAAATTGTTTCGGTATATCTTAACGGATTAACACCCGGTAGAGAAACTTGGTAAACTCCAGAATTAAGACATTTTAAGGGGACAACTGAATAAGCGCGAATTTCATAAGTGCGAACAGGCTTATATGCAAATCGACATAAGTGGGGATTGGCATAAGTGCGAAGCAGTTACAAAAATTGTCACAAGTGCAAACTGGCATAAGTGCGCCGAATAAATTTTTAAATAATGGCATAAGTGCAAATCGTTATTTCGCTCTTATGCCAATTCGCACATATGCCAGCTCGCACTTATACCAATGTTTTCAAATTTATTCGGCACACTTATGCCAATTCGCACTTATGCCAGTTCGTATTTTTGCCAGTTTTTCTAACTGCTTCGCACTTATGCCAGTTTGCACTTATGCCAGTTTCTGTAACTACTTTGCACTTATGCAAGTTCGCAATTGTGCCATTTCGCACTTATGCCAATGTTTGCAAATTTGTTTGGCGTACTTATACCTATTCGCACTTATGCCAGTTTGCACTTGTGCCAGTTTTTACAACTGCTTCGCATTTATGCCAGTTCACACTTATGCCAAATCGCGCTTATTCAGCCACCCGATTTTAAGATACCATATATCAGAAAAGAGTTACATATATAAAATTAGACAACTTGTTTCACCGTAAAAGTTTGTAAAAAAAGCTACACTTTTAATCAAGTTCTAACAAATATAAAGCATGCGCACACCAAAAAAATATGTTTTAGGTCTATATTAGTGTCTATGCTAGATATGTAGAAGCTTAAAAATCAAAAAGTAGCCGTTTTTGAAAAAAAAACTAATTAAAAAAAACTTCATTAAAAATAAAATTCTAAGTGCAGTGGAACTTTTTTCTAAGGGTAGTAAAAAGGTTAATTTTCTTTCTAAATATGTTTTATAAATATATTTTTTATATGTTTTATATGTTTTTTTATATGTTTTTTAAATATATCTTTATAAATATATTTTACTAACTCTTACTATTATTTAACTTCACAAAGATTTGTTTATACTCTTTGCTAACAATTTAAACAAAGTGTTTGCAATCATCCAAAGTTTTAAATTTATTACTATAAATATACATTATTTCATTTTTTCAAAGAATTAGCAATTCTTTTGTTTCTAGTTTGTTAGTGAAACATTAAATCGTTGGATTTTGAATGAACGGATTCAGACGCCTGTTTATTGTATCGTCCAAGAGAATGGCCAGTAAGTTCAATAAACTGTTGCCAGTGAGCTGAGATTTAGTTTATTTTCCAGTTCACTGAAGTTTCTTTCCTAGAAACTAATAAAATATTACGTAAAATAGATAATAATAATAATACTAATAATAGCAATAATAATAATAGCAATAATAATAGCAAAAACAACAATAACAATAACAACAACAACAATAATAATAACAAATGCTGCATCTTCCATTATGTTTAAACTATACAGTTACTTTTTGTAAAATAAACAAAATATAAATTAAGTAAAGTTTAAGAAACTCTACCAAAGAGCGTGATATAGAGGTCATTTTTACATCTTACCTCAAACGGATCACACTTTTTCAATCAGTTTTTTCCAAATCTCTACAAAAATTTCGTTGGAACTATAGCAAAATTTCATTTTTAAAACATAAAAACACCATAAAAAAACGTGCATCAATTGGGCAATCTATGCATTGATTGCCCAATTAAAAAGTAAAAATAAGCAAACTTTTGTGAAATAATTACTTAAAATATACCAGTCAATTTAACATGATATATGGAACACGTTTTACATAATACCATAATTAATTTGAGAGAAAATTAATGAGAATAAAAAAATTATTTAGAATCGGTGCATGAAAATGTTGTGCTTATAAGAAAACATATGTCAAAAGCGATACGTATGTATTCATTTGTATTCATATGTATTCGTATGTATTCATATGTAAATTTTCTAAAATGTACTGTAATTAAAAAAGTAGAGGTTTAATGTCACCGTGGATCACAAAAGATCTCAGAAAATCTTCAAAAATTAAGAAAAAGTTATATATTAAATACTTGAAAACAAAAACACAAGAAAGTAAGATTCTTTACAAAAATTATTTCAGAAAGTTTGAAACACAAAGAAAGAATTTAAAAAAACTATACTACTCCAATCTACTTGAAATGAACAAACATAATTCTAAACGCACCTGGGAAATTGTTAGAGAAGTTACTGGCATGCAAAACACAAAAACGCATATTTTTGTGTTTTGCCTGTAATCCTAAAAATTAATGATGAATTTTTGTCCAATCCAACAATGATATGCGATGAATTAAACAAATTCTTTGTGTCAGTTGGCCCAAATCTTGCTAAAAAAATTCCTTTTGTGATAAACAAAATGGATAACTTCGATTTTCCGTCTTCGTCTCTAACTTCCTTTGAATTATCTTTTGAAGAATTTGAGCAATCTTTTAAAATGCTCAAGTCTAATTAATCTGTCGGTCACGACGGTATATTTAGTAATGTGGCCATTGAATTGTATGAACATTTGAAAGATGTACTATTTAAAGTTTTTCACTGTTCAATAAAACAGGGAACATTTCTAGACCATCTTAAAATAGCCAAAGTCACACCAATTTTCGAAGAAGGTGATACTACAAATCTTACAAATTATCGCCCAATCTCTGTTTTACCTGTTTTTTCTAAAGTATTAGAGAGGATCCTATATAACGTAATTTATAATCACCTTTCTTTAAATAATATACTTTATACTAATCAATAAGGGTTTAAAAAAAATACATCAACAGAACACGCGATACTCCATATAACTCGTAGTATTTCTGAATCGTTTGAAAATTCCCAATATACGTTGGGAGTTTTCATAGATTTATCAAAAGCTTTTGATACAATCGATCACCAAATTCTCCTTAAAAAAGTTAAAAATTATGGAATTAAAGGAAATGTTTTAAAGTTACTTCAAAGTTACTCAAGTAACCGCAAACAGTTTGTTTATAGTAATGAAGTTAACCCATCTAATTTATTCAACATAACCTGTGGGGTTCTGCAGGGCTCGATATTAGGATCCCTTCTTTTTCTATTTATATTAATGATCTTCATAAAGCTTCTAATTTGATGTCAGTCATGTTTGTCGATGACACTAACCTCTTTTTGTCTGATAATAGCATAACTACATTATTTCTAGATATGAACATGGAATTAACAAAAATATCTGATTGGTTTAAAATGAATAAACTTTCACTAAATGTTGAAAAAACAAAATAGACACTTTTTCATCCAGCGTCTAAAAAAAAAAACTACTTCCTTGTGAGCTACCTTTACTTTTTATTGATGAAATCCAAATAAAAAGAGTAATTAATGCAAATTTTTTGGGTATCTATGTTGATGAAAACCTTAGTTGGAAATACCACATTGAATTCTTGTGTAATAAAATTGCTAAAAGTATAGGAATATTGTATAAAGCTAGAAGCGTGTTAAATGTAAACTGGAGCCTCTTTATCGTCAACAGAAACATGTTGGTCGTCTTATTAATTTTAAAAACAGATTTACTCATGCCAAGCCTCTTTTATTTGAAATGAAAATTCTTAATATATATCAGCTGAATGTTTTTAATATTCTTTGTTTTATGTATAAATGTAAAACTAACTCTTCCCCAGTTTCTTTCCATAATTTATACACGCTGAAATATAAAAATAAATACAATTTAAGAAATGATAATTTAATTCGTCAACCATTTTTTCAGACTAATTTTGGAAAATCTAGTATTTCTTTTCGAGGAGCTTTTCTTTGGAACAAAATAGTTTTAAAACATTTTAATTTTTCGCTGCAATGGAGTTATTTTTCATTCAGAAATAAGCTTAAAGAAATCATTTTGTCTCATGATGATATATTGTCATATTTTTAAACGTTATTAATTTGATGTATTATTTTAATTTATTCAGTTGAATATTTATAAGAACATGCACTTAAATGTGATTAATAATATATGCACTTGACTTTATATATATATTGAATTTTATGAAGTTTTAATTTACGAGCGGTTCTTGGTGACAAGACCTAATGGTCTTCTTCGAGTCTCCGCGTTCTTTTTATATTAACAAAAAAGTCTTAGTTTTATCTTTTATTTTTTTCTTATTGAGTAACGTTTTTAACAATCTAATTGTAAATTTTTCTTAACGATCTAATTGTAAATTTTTCCTAACGATCTAATTGTAAATTAATTAATTTTTCTTTGAATATATTGTAATAAAAACAAAAACAAAAACAAAAAAAAAAATCATTTTTTACAAATGTTTTGTTAATACTGTTTACAAATGTTTGTTTATATAGTTCTACCAAGCCGGCATTTGGTCCAAAATTTGGTCTTTTAAAACGTTCAAAAGACGTCTTTTTTGGACCAAATGCCGGCTAGTAGACATATTGCTAAGTTATTAATACTTAATGTTAAATTAAACGTTTTTGTAAATCTGTGAGCAAAAGATTAATGAGCCAAATTCATGATTTTTTTTTTTTTCAATTAACTTTTGTTTCTTGAAGTACAACCACAATTGTTTATAAGATCACACCTTAAATGTGCAGTCTCATCTTAGGTACCTTATTTAAAAAGTGACTTACCCTTGATTAAATATGTTCTAAACAAAGCAAAAAAACGAGCTATGATATAGTTAGGCTAGAGACATCTTCAATACTGCGATTTACAAAAAAAGTACAATCACTTAAATTTCAGTGTTTACGGTTCAATCTGTTTTAAATCTATAAACGAGTAC